GGGGGGATTGACTATGGTGTCCAGTAACATTTCTGAATGGAATTGCTGGCTTGTGTCTGCAGCTGCCGATCTTGTTTAGAAGCCAAATATCACCTCTTTTTTGTCGTGGAATGCAGTTTATGACCAAAATGAGCTTATGACTGGTTTTATTAATCTTGTGAGGATTACACTTTTCATCATAGTGTCATCTGTCATATGAATATATCTTCTACAGTTAATTGAATGTAATTTATAAATAATAGCGACTTCTGATTAGCTGTCAGACATGTGTTTTACAAAATGTTTGTAGCTGTCAATCAACTTTATAAATGTTCTCTTGATTTTACTGTGACATCTGAACTTTTTCTCAACTTATTTATTGCTTCACAGGCTAGGGAAAGACATATTAATTTATTTATTACACTTTCCACAGTGGTGGGTCTACCAAAAGGCTATCAGGCAACCCCTCTAAGCAGAGGTTGTCATTGTAGTCTAAGGCAGCAATTCTTTCCAAAACCTACTGTTTCCATGACCTGCTGCTGACATATTTATGAAATATGCACAAACTGGAAACCTGATTCATAGTATAGGGACTGCCATCACCGCCCTTTCCTTCTAAAACATACTGGTTCCCTGGGTGCCATGCTGGTGCAATGGCTTCAGAAATTTCTAAGCACTTACTGACCTGGAATTAGTATGAAGATTAGCAGCGTTCGCTTTTTAAAAAAAAATGTTATGTACTTACTGAGCACTAGTTTAATTTAAAAATACAATCAATTATTATTTTGGAATACATAACCCCATTAGTTATATGCCTGGCGGTCTGTTTTAAACTATTATTTTCCCTACTGAGTGGCTGTATAATGAACCACTCTACCCCTGCGGCATACACCGTGAATGTATGAATTGAAGATAGATTTTAGCAAGTACAAAAACAGTTTCACAAAATATATTTGCAGCATGATCATGCAAATGTGTAATTTTGTTTTAGTGGACTCTGGGGTTTTCTTTAATTAAGATGCATCAATGTGTCTATTGTGGGTTCACAATGGGTAGTTTCTTAAACCTAATGCAAACCTGTTCCTTTGAGAAGTGTAAAGTTTATTATTTTGCATCATAAGGTGCATATTTATACCTGTAGTGTTTACTATGTAAAGTCCTAAATGCCGCTGATACCCCTGAACCAACGTGGCTTCCAAGGAAAAATTAGAAGGCATGCCTCTTACTCCCTGACCAACCAATGGCTGTCACATGGGGGTATAAATTACTCCTCTTCTCTCGTTATATCTCGTCTTGACTATTGCAACTCCCTCCTCATTGGCTTTCCACTACACAGGCTATCCTACCGTCAGTCTATCATGAATACTGCTGCTAGACTCATCCACCTAACCAACCGCTCACCGCTCAGTGTCTGCAACCTCTACTCACCCAAAGGATAACATTCTAAATATTAACAATAACTTATAAAGCCATCCACAACTCTGCCCCCGGATATATCTCAAACCTTGTCTCAAAGTGGAAGCGTTGCCATTGAATTCAATGCACCGCCCTGCCCCCTCCCGCCCCAGAATGCAGTGCT